GAGATGATAGACGTGAAAATGATTAAATGCTGATTTCTGGTAATCTTTTCAGCAAATCACTGAACTAGAAGTATCCTTGGAGATCCCCAACACAGAGTTTTAAAGTGTTCATGAGGTGTGGTACAAGTTACCAGAAGCTATGGGATTATACAAGGAAGATACATTGCCTTGGGACTTTTAAGGAATGCCTTCTCTAAACAAGAGTAAATGGAATATGAACTTGAGACAGAGTAGACCAGGGAGGGTACTGTACAAAACATTTCCATGAAGAGAAGGAAATTGAACCTGCACAATCCTTTGTCAACATTTACTTCTTTGTCTTGGATTTAAGACTTTGCTTTGCCTACTTCCAGTATGCTGACAGATGCCATGAATTGGTAAGAATTTTTTAAGATTCCTTGCAATTCAATATCCTCAATGGTGCAGTCAGTACCCAGAAAAATCAGAGCTCCTATGTGGAGAGACACATTCCTGCTCTTGGTAAAGCAGATCTGGCAAAAGCAGTGATTACAAAATGTGGGTTAAAGAAATGCTAAGGAGATGCCAGCTCTGCATTTATGCCAACACCCTTTCCCCATTTTCTGTATGTTTCAATTTAGTCTTCAAAACAAAGTGACTTCCCAGTCAATGAAAACATTTATTCTACCTTAGAAATCAAATAGTTTTCAAAGGACAGCAAAAGACCCATGAGAGCAGGATGACATGTGATATTGAATACAAGTGATTCCTTGCAGTGATCGGCTCCTTTTCCACTACACACCCCTTTCATAACATCACCTCATTTGATCCTAACAAGTTTATGATGTAGATAATCACACTGGTCTCACTAATCTTCCATGGACTCTAGCTCGTTACACAACCAGCAGCGATGTTCAGTAAGACTTCCTGGTGGACTGGTTATTAACAGCCCCAGAAAAATCACTGATTTATAACAATTAATAATTTCTAAGCTCTGTCAGTGCAAGGACAAGTTAAAAAGCAATCCAAGCATTCAGAAAGAATCATTAAAAATCACAAATTAAGTCATTTCTAAGGACTCTATAGCAGGAAATATATTTTTAATGAGGAAATTGATGCTAATATGTAACAGCTGTCCCGTTACCCAATAACTGAGTATTAGGGCAGATTAAATTATTAATGAAAAGTATGGCAATACAGAAATTTAGCCTTTGAACACTCCCATATTCCTGTCTCTTTTGTATACAGTCTTTAAACTGATATTTTTAAAAAAATAGATGTGGTCACTTTGTGTAGTTTATACTGATAATTTTTCTGCCACTCACACATTGGATTCTTTAGACCATTGTGTAACCTGCCTTCACACCCAGAAAATGAAGGCTCATTGGGTTGAGGAGAGGATTAACTGAAAGAAAAGTGCTAAGAGCAGGGCCTGGTTTGCTGGGTTTTAAATAATGGGAGCTATTATTAAAGCCATCAAGATTTAATCAGTAAATATTTATTGAACTAATATCCAAAGTGGGTATGCAGCCATTACCAGTTCTAAAAATATTGAGTATGCTCCTATCATTCAGAAAACAAGCAGTGCCCAAACCCAGACTTTCTGGAGTCACTGGCCAGATGACCCCTTGAAACTACGACCCTGAGGAAATCGTTTAACCTTGAACTGAATATTATTCCTTGCAGTGATCTCTGAACCAACCAACAGTTGTATTTTATAACAAAACAAACCAAAATAAAACCCCAAGCAAATGACGGCATTAAGCAATATACTCTTAAAGATTTATATATATATGGGATCAAACTGATGACAGCAATTAAAATAGAGGAGAAACTTAGAAAGGCGATGAGCTTATGTTGATGATGGTGACATTTGAAAAAGATTGTCAAACAAGTTGCCACAACTTGAAGAATGTAGTCGATGGCATTGAACAAAACATGGACAAATTGTTGAAGTGACGTATGTATGTTTTCTTGGGTATAATATAACAAAATATTTTAAAAGAAAATTAATTCCTTCCAAGAGACCTCCAAGTATCCTCTGTCATCCTAACTGTCCCAGCTCTCTTAGGATATCAAACTTCTTTACAATACAATACCTACAGGGCTTATGAGTGGAATAACTGGGGACCTCCAAGAACCTTACTGGATAGAACTTATGCTAGTCAAGTCCCTCAAAGTCCCACCTCCTTGGCACAACCGATCAACAATCCAACAAAAATTCAGTTTACTACCATTGAGTTGAAAAGCTCTGGTGGCCCATGGCACTAGGTGTATCATTGCCAATGTCAGAAGGATCTTGTCTAAAAGCAGAGAGTACCAGAGGAATGTCTATATCCATATCTTTTCAGCTCATATGCACAACAAATACTTTGGGAGGCTAGACTTTATGAGGAGAAATGTGGCATCAGGATTGGAGGAAGACTTGTCAACACCTGCATTATGAAGATGACACAACCTTGCTTGCCCAAATTGAGGAGGACCAGAAAGGCTTACTGCAGAAGGTCAAGGACTGTAGTCTTCAATATGGATTGAAGCTCAACATCAGGAAGACAAAGACACCAGTGAGCCAATTAGGAGCAACATGATAGATGGAGAAGAGATTGAAGTTGTTAAGAATTTCCGTTTCCTTGGCTCCACAATCAACACTTTTGGCACCAGCACCCAGAAAAATAAAAATATTAATTGCATGGGCGAAATCTTCTGTCAGAGACCTTTCCAAAGTGGTAAAGAGCAGTAAAGTCGGTCTAGAGAGTAAGATGTACCTGATTCTGGCCATGGTCTTTGCAATGCTATGCACCAGAAAGCTGGACAGTGAATAATCGATGCCTTTGAGTTATGCTGCTGGAGTAGAGTACTGAACAAACCATGGACTGCCAAGAGAACACACAAGTTTGTCCTGGAGAGGGTGAAATCAGACTGCCCCTTGGAGACAAAGATTTTGAAGCTCTGTCTCACATACTTTGATCATGTGGCCAGGAGGGACCAGTCCTTGGAGAAGGGCATCATTCTTGGAAGGATGGAGGCACAGTACAGAAGAGGAAGACCGCAGATGAGATGGAATGACACAGTAACTGGGGTAATGAGGTTAGGGTGTCAGAGACAGTGAGACTGGCTCAGGATAGGGCCAGGTTCAGAGCTATTACACAGGGTCCCTATGAGTCACAGGCAACTCAATGGCACATACCAATAACAACAGTCATTGAGTAGGAGTTCATAGCTCACTCTCTAGCAGGTTTTCAGAAGCTCTAAATCTCACAGAAGAATACATACCACCCATGTTTTTCCCTCAGAGCAAATGATCTGCCATTTGTTTGGCAGCACAGCTCCTTACTCACTAGAGCTACCAGAACTCCCTTCTTGGGATAGAAATCACTTAAAATTTGCACAGTCATTCTTCATACAATAATTGTTGTTTGTTGTTATATGCCATTGAGTCGCTTGTGACTCATAGCGACCCTATGTACAAGAACTCTAAATGCCGTTCTATCCTGTGCCAACCTTGCCATCTCAAACACACTCATTCTCACCACTCCAGTCACAGAATCGATCCATCTCATCGAGGGTTTTGCTCTCCTGCACCGTCCCTCCACTCTTCCAAACATGATGTCCCTCTCCAAGGACCAGTCCCTCCTTGCAACATGCCCAAAGTATGTCAGACGAAGCTTCAGAATCCTTGACTCTGAGGAGCATTCTGGCTTCATCCTCTCCAGGACAAACCTGTTTGTTCTCCTAGCAGTCCATGGTATATTCAACACTCTTCTCAATTCTCTTTCTATCATCCCTATTCACTGTCCAACTCACTGATGCATAGCATGTAATTGCAAAGACTATAGCCTGAATCAGGAGCACCTTAGTCTCCAGCTGACATCGTTGCTCTTCAGTACTCTTGAGAGGTCCCTCACAGCTGACTTTCCCAATGCAATTTGTCTCCTGATTTCCTGGCTGCTGTTACCAAGAGTGTTAACTGTGGAACCAAGTAATCTAAAACTGTTAACTATCTCAATCTCTTCACCATCCATACTGATACTGCCAATTGGCCCAATGGTGAGAATCTTTTGTTTTCTTGATGTTGAGCTTCAATCCATATTGAAGGCTGCAGTTCTTAACCTTCTGCAGCAAGTGCTTCAAGTCCTCCTCAGTTTCAGCAAGCAGGGTTGTGTCATCTGCATAACGCAGGTTGTTGATGATTCTTCCACCAATCCTGATGCCACATTCCTCCTTGTACAGCCTAGTGTCTTGGATAATATGTTCTGCATACAGATTGAAAAGGTCTGGAGACAAAATACATCCTTGATGGACCCCTTTCTTGGTTTTGAACCATCCAGTGTCTCCCTCCTCTGTTCTGACAACTACCTCTTGGTCCAAGTATACGTTTCACATTAGCACAATCAAATTCCCATTCTCCTCAGAGTCAGCCACAGCTTGTTGTGATCCACACAGTCAAAAGCCTTTGCATAGTCAATGAAGCACAGATAGACATTCTTCTGGTATTTTCTGCTTTCTTCCAAGATCCATCTAATATTAGCTATAATATCCCTAGTACTATGACTTCTTCTAAATCCAGCCTACACATCTGGCAGTTCTCTGTTGACATATTGTTCCAAATGTTTTTGGATAATTTTCAGCAGAATCTTGCTTGCATGTTATATCAGTGATATTGTTTGATAATTTCCACACTCTGTTGAGTCACCTTTCTTTGGAATGGGAACAAATATCGATCTCTTCTAGTCAGTTGGCCAGCTGGCTGTCCTCCAGATTTCCTGGCACAACTTAGTAAGCACATCCAGGGAAGCATCTGTTTAGCTAACTATTAAGTGATTATCAATATGCAATTAGGGAAGCAAAACATAATTTAATAAACCAGTAACTTTATAAGACATAAAGAGGTAAATTATTTGGAGATCAAATCAAAGGGAAGAAATGAAGGTGCATTCGTATGCTCTCCCACCCCAAATCATGCCTTTTGCTGTAGGGGCTTCCTATTAATTAACAGAAGAGCAGAGGGAGCCTCAGTGGAAGCAAAGGCAGTGTGTACTCACGTTGGTGTTGCACAGCTTATACTGTCTGTAGGCCCCAATGCAGGCGATTGCAGTGGACCGGGAGGGCTGGGAGAAGCTCTGGGCAGCTCTGGGGGTCCCCACACCATGGCTACTGCTTGTTTCCGGCATGTGGAAGAGACTCGAGGACGCAGGGAAGCCTTGGTCATGGGTCAAGGGCAGCTGGTAGATGGAGGCCTCTGAGGCTTGCCGTCCAGAGAGAGGGTCATGGTCGCTTTGGTACAGAGAGCCATGCTGAGGTGCCTGGTGGGTTGGGGGCCTGTACCCATGTCTAGGACTGGATGCTCCCTGAGACCTGGAATGTCGAGGTGAAGGCCTCTGTCTCCGAAGTCTCTGTGGCATGTGGCCAGTGTCCGTTTGCAATGGTAGGATATAGGGGGCCTTCCCGTAGCCATACTTGCCAGGACCGATGGGACCTCGGCTTCTGCTCCTGTGGGGTGGGAAGAGAGATGAACAGAGTCATTCCACTTTTCAGATGAAGGCCCACCCTTTGATAGAGGGGACTGGATAGGAGTGGAAGCTATTGAAAGAGCTGGTGGTACAAACGAGAGTCAAAGGAACGGCATTCCAGGAGACGGGAGCATTGTGGGTAAAGACACCGAGGCTGGACAGTGACAGTAAGGTGGGGATCAACAAGTAGAAGACAGCAGTGATGAGAAAAGTCACAGAAGGAAGGAAAGGTCAGTACACAGCTCTGAGGTTAGGGCTGCTGTTGTTGCTGTTATGTGCTGTCAGATCAGAACCAACTAATAGCGGGCCCTCGAGTGGCTTTTCTGAGGCTGTAAATCACATGGGGAGAAGATTGCCTATCTTTCTCCCATAAGGCAGATGATAGATTCAAACCACTCATCTTTGGGTTGGCAGCACAACTCCTTACTACTTGGCCACTAGCTATTATTGTGTACCGTCAAGTTGGAACCAACCTATAGCTGACCCTCCAGTGGGTTTTCAGATGCAGTAAATCACACCAGAGGAGAATGTCCATGTTTCTCCCATGGAGCAGCTAGAGAATTCGAATCACATACCTTTGTATTGGCAACCCCACTCCTTACCACTAAGCCAGGAGGAGTTTGGGTATTTCTGTAGGTCATACTGAACCACAGAGGATCTTAAAGAAATGTAATTGTACTCTAGGGTTGCAAGTGCAACCATCATACCTTTCCTACTCACTTTTTTCCCTGATAATAAAAATTATTTCTCTCACTCAAAGGTGCTTGATATTTCAGACCATAATACCACATCTTTTAAGCCCCCAAAGTTTTTTTCAGGCACATGGAAATTGGCAGAACTACCAAATCCTTTATCTAGAAGGTCTGCCTGACATGCAGTGGGTGAAATTGAATCTCTGCAAAGATTGTTGTTGTTGTTGTTAAGTGCTGTCCAGTCGCAGGTGATTAGGGGGTCGAATAATGGTTCCTTCTCTCCTCAGGTCGCCTATACTGAGCAATGAGTAAATGATCAACCTCAACCCACAGAGGACTCTCCAGGAGGTTGGCAGTTCAGATCCACCAACTGCACCACAGGAGAAAGACAGGCAGTCTGCTCCAGTAAAGACGGACAGCCTCTGAAGCCTGATAGAGGGATGACCTGAATCGGAACGGATGGAATGGCGGTGAGTTTCGGTTTTAACGTGAAGACAATTTGCTCCTACAAGCAACTATTAGCCACCTCTGGCACACCATTGCAGGCAAATTTATCAGGCAACTACTATTTGCAAAATTCAGAGCTCGGAAAGGGGAAGAAGTACGAAACTGAATCATACATGGTTCTCAAGGTCCCAGCCTTACAACTGAAAACTAGAACAAAAATAAAAAGCAGGGTAAGGGCAGTGTCAGTAATACAAGTAGCAAGCACTGGGAATTCTGAAGTGAGAGGAATGACTTCTGTCCTGGGTGATCTGAGAAGGTTTCACCATCATTGGTCTGAAAGATGGAAAGTACAGGTTCCAATACTCTGTGGAAGGGTTTAAGTAAGTCATCTAACTCTCACTTCTTTGTGAAATGACTCGACTGGATTAAATGACTGCCAAGGTCGCTCCAGCTCTAAAATTATATGCTTCCATAATAATTAATTCTACATTTACTCAAAACTGGAAACATGCCTAAAGGTTCCTACAGGATGGCCCCATTAAAATAAGCACATTAAAATAGCAATCAAGGTGAAACATTGATTTCTGCCCCGATGCGGAAATTCTTTCTTCACTCTACATAACCACTGAAAGTAAAATTTAACAGACCACAACTAATTATTAACATCTTTATCACTAATTGCACCTTCACTTTTAGCTGATAGGGTTGTGAATTAAGCCACGCTGAAGCATTTATCTTGCCTTTAGGCATTTTTCAATTAATCTTGGCAATGCCTGGGACTCTATTAATGATGGGGGATCCAGCAAGCTGCTTTAAGAGATGCAATTAAGAAGTTAGTCTTTACTTTTTTCCTTCTTGTGTTAGGCAGGCCAGGTAAAATTAATGACATCATACAAAACTGAAGGAAAGAATTTCTGTGTGTGTGTGTGTGTGTGTGTGTGTGTGTGTGTGTGTGTGTGTGTAAAACTGAATAACTCACCAAAAGTTCTTATACTGATGGTAACAGCAAAATGAAGACACATGGAATGGTGCTTCTCACCCCTGAATCTGCTCACGACCCACCTGAGGATCTCATTGGAATGGAGATTCTGATGCAGGGAATCTGCAGCAAAGCCTGAGAGGCTGCCTTTACAAGCTCCCAGGGGATGCTGATACTGTTGGCCCACAAGCCAATCATGTTGAAGGACAAATTAATAAGACAGAATGGAGACGTTTTGAAAAGGTTGAACCTTCCACATAAACCCGTATTCTATTTAGAGGAGAAAAATAACTGTGATATTTTAAAATGGAAGTCCTAAATATATCATGGACAACAAAAACATGAATAAATCAAAAGAAGGGTAGCCAGGAGTTCCTCATAAGCAAGGACAGTGAGGCTTCATGTCACATATTTTGACTATGTTATCAGAAGGGGCCAGTACTTGGAACGTAAGGGGAAAGGGAGGGTCAGGGAAGTAGAGGAGGACTCAATAAAGATGAACTGATGTAATAACAGTAATAATGGGCTCACCTTCCTTGATCCTTGACTTTCCCAAGATGATGTCCTTTTCCAAGCACTGGTCCCTTCTGATAACATGCCCAAAGTATGTGAGACTAGGTTTCACCATCTTTCCTCTAAAAGGAGCAAATGCCTGCACTTCTTCCAACACAGATTTGTTTGTTCTTTGGAAGTCTATGGGATAGCCAATGTTCCTCCCCAACACTATAGTTCTCCTTCAGCCTTTCCTAATCAACTTTCATATGAATATGAAGCAACTGAAAATATCACAGCAATCCGAATTTATAAGTAAAGATTTTTCTGTAACTTCTCTTATACGGAATGGCCATGGTTCAATGGTGATTAATTTTATAAAACATAGAGGATGAAATCAAGCTGCTCCTTGGAGGCAAGGATTCTGACGCTTCATCTGACATACTTTAGACATGTTGCAAGGAAGGACCAGTATTTGAAGAGGGACATCATGCTTAAGAGGTGGAGGGACAGTGCAAGAGAGGAAGACCCTCGATGAGATGGAGCGATACAGTGACTGGGGTAATGGAGGTAGGTGTGTCAGAGACAATGATTGGCACAGGATAGAGCAGGATATAGGGCTACAGTACATAGGGTCGCTATGAGTCTCAAGTGACTTGATGGCACTTAATAGCAACAAACAATAATGCATAGAAATAATTGTGGGACATGAAATACACTATGAATGAAGAACAGTGTGAAAGACAATAGATAGGATTAACTTTGTAAGCAACCAATGTAAAAAAAAATTAAAAATAGTAATACAAATACAGGATTCAAGCAATGATTGGCAGCAAGAATGTTCTATACAAGGGTTTGTTTTTAAAAGTTGCAGATTAGCCATTTACTAGTTCTATGAACTTTGGCATATAATGTGCTCTCAGAGGTTTTTTTTTTAAATGTATAAAAATAATGTGACTTCTTTACACCCATAAGAATGGCCATAATCCAAAAGATGGATACTAACAAGTATTGGTGAAGTTGGAACCCTCGTACACTGTTGATGGGACTGTAAAATCATGTACTTCATGGAAAATAGTTTGGCAGTTCCTCAAAAGCTTAAACATAGACTTACCCACTTCTAGGTATACACCCAAGATAATTGAAAACATTCACACACACCAAATAAAACACACCACCTTTTACAAATGTTTTGGCAGTATTATTCATAATAGTCAAAAAGTGGAAACAGCTTAAATGCTCGACAGCTGATGAATGGATAAACAAAACATGGTAAATGTGCATGCTGAAGCATGATTCAACCATAGAGAGGAATGAAGTACTAAACCCCATTACTGCGTGAGAATATTACTGCTTGAGAACACTGTTGCTGTTGTTAGGTGCTGTTGAGTCAAGTACGACTCATAGTGACCATATAAACAACAGTTCTGAGCCCTGTCCTTCCTGTACCATCTCGCTGTCTCTGACACCCCTGAGCCGTGCTGCAGTCACCATGTTAATCCATCTCAGTGAGGGTCTTCTGAGTTAAAAAAGCTAGATACAAAAGACCATATATTGCATGATTCAACATACATGAAATGTCCAAAATAGGAAATTTTATAAAGACAGAAAGCAGATCAATGGTTACCTATGGTTTAGAGATAGAGGAATGAGTAATCAGTAGTGGTCATGAGCTCTCATTTTGAGAAAATTATAAAAAATGTTCTGTAATTAGACTAGGGTAATGATTCCTTCATATGGATTTAAAAAAAATCATTGAATTATATCCTTTAAATCAGCCAATTTTATGGTATGTTAATTATACCTCAATAAAGCTGGGTAGGCATACTTGTTTTAAAAGGAAAACTTTTTCTTAATGAAACCCTAAATATTTACTACTTTACCTACTTACAAAGATGCTTTAAAAATCAAATGAAAACCAGTGAAAAAACAATTTTTTTAAACCTGGAAGCAGTTCACATCGTTTGCTTCAGTAACATTTAACAAACCTTTGTTGAGCTTTATTCAGCGTTTACTTGACTGGAAGTGAGGGGCCATGCGTTTTTCTGTTTGTCCACATTTTCTGACAGCAGAAGCAAATGCTAGTCAGTCTGCATCAATGACAAGAACAGGATCATCAGGGTTCTGACACCAAGCCCCAGTCCCTCGTCTCAGGACCTACTTGTTAGGGTCTGAAGAAACTTTTTTCTGTCTATAACGATGACTGAAAAATAGCATTCTCAAAGGTCAATAAACATATAAAAGACATTTCTCTTAAAATGCATGGACTGTCATCTAAGAGCTCGTTATATGTGATGGTGTCCAGTCTCTGACAATAAAATCCTGACCAGCCAATGTCATCATTCACAGACTGAGCTGCTCCACCTCCTC